CAGAGGTGGGACTATACACCTCCTTCAAGTGTATGACATAATTGTCCGGAACGCCGTTCCGTGGCAGACAGTTCCACAGTGACGACCTATCTACTGAATCAAAAGCGGCTGGGATCTCCAAAAATACCACCACTCTTGGTCTTCAGTGAACACGACGATGTTCGAGAATTTGACGCTACTTGAAAATTTGGTCAATGTAACCACGGCCAGAACGAAAACCAGTCTGTTCCTCCCGACACAAACTTTTGCGGGTAACTGAGAGCCTACGCAGCAGAATGGACACAAAGAACTCGGACGCGACAGAGATAGGTGAGATTCCTCTGTAGTTGGTGCATTCACTACGTGAGCCCTTCTTGTGGATCGGAACCACAACAGATTCTCCCCATGAGTTAGGAACCTTCTCATCGCACCATGCCTTTGTGAACTGTGATAGAATTTCGGTGACATCTAAATTCTCCCATCTTTGAATAAGGCCGGAGGAAGACTGTCAAGGCCAGGAGCTTCATGGCTTTTTCACAGTCTGGATTTCTCTCCGTATTGCTGCTTTCGTGGGAGGATCTATGAAGACTGACCAAGGATCATATGTTGGCAGTGGATGTGCAACCGGTGGTCGTGTTGGGCAATCAAACTGTAGAGTAAAGGGTTCTGCCCAGCGAAAAAAGCGTCGGCGTAGGTTGGTGATCTTTGTACCATCCGACTCACAGATGGTCTGACCGATGGCCTGAACTATGCGTCCGGTGGATTAGATGAGACAAAACAACTTGAGGCTATTACTACCAGAGGCAGCAACTTCTATTTCCTTCACCTGTTTAGACCACCAGGATTCACGATCACGTAGAAGACTCACGTTCAGTTGTCCGGAAATATAACGGCGGAGTCCAGTGTGCTGTACACTGAAGAGTATAGCCCGCCGACAGCCGAGCAGTTTCACGGTGGCCGAGACCCAACTTTAGTTGTGTAACGAAAAAGACCACAACTGGATAAACACGCTGAAAACATAATGTGTTGCAGTCGCGACCAGTGCTGGTCAACCTCCCGAGGAGGCGGAGAAGTCAGTCTCTCAAGAAGCTTTTTTTGATACTCCAAATGCACTGCGGGGTCTTCCAGTTTACCAGAGTTGATGCGAGTTTGTCTAGTCCTAAGCTAGTCACCGAAACGCATGCAAACCGACGCACGCACTAGCGCATGTCCAGTTTCAACCCATGTTGACCAATAGGATCTACAGTCCCGAATAATGCCACGCCAGCGATGACTTATGGCGATGTGGTCAATCTGTGATCAACGTTGAGGAGATGATGGAGTGTGCCAGGTAGTGTAGTGATGTCTAGGGCGGCGAAAATTCGTGCTGGAGAGGTAAAGTTGGTGGGTAGCACACAAATTGAATAGCCATTCACCAATGTCTGAGCGAAAGTTGTCGTATCCATGCGGACCTCCAAGATGGCGTACGCTTGGTAACAAACGACCGGTACGCGAGTTGAAATCCTCGCCAAAATGACCTTGTCGGTTTTGGAGGCTTTTAAGAGCAAATCATAAAGATTCTGATAGAATTGGTCCTTGACGGTATCTGGGCTACATTCATTTGGAGTATAGGCGGAGATTACAAAAAGAGCACGTTTATCTTCTCGACGTCTGTTAAACTTGCATGAGCCATGTAGCCTGACAGCGCAACGGCGACTGTTGATCGAAATCCATTCGAGAAGGGCTGCTTTGGCTCTGGCACTAAGGGCGACCCAAACATCAACTTGCGCAGAAGCTGTAGCATCGCAGTCTCCCGAAAGTAGAAGATGGAAACGAGTATAAAGGTGAACTGGTGGCGACAATGTGTAGACTGTGCTGGACTCTTGAAGTCGTGTTTCGGACAAGCAACAGACATAGATTCCAAGAGTTTCTAGAATGCGGGTGGTACCAGCTTGAAGCCAATCTGTTTGAAAGTGCGCACATTGAACGTCGCCAAGCTGAACTGTGTCTTCGGTTGCTGAAGCGGAGAGGGTCGAATGAGGGACCGTTCCATTCCGTTTGGCACTGTGATTAGGTCAGTTGATGGAGCAGCAACAGTGATGTTGGAGGAGGTAACTCAGCTCATCGTTAATTGATTATACAAAAATGGGGAAATGATACATGGGAAGAGTAGATAGGCAGGTGGCGTGTGAAGGAGGAGTCTTTGCAATAATAGCACGAAAGCAAAGCATCAGCGTAGCGAAGAGTACAGTTCAGTTCCATGGTTCATCAGTAGGCGAGATACTACCCGGTTGCCTAGGCCGAAGTAGGGGGTTGTCTTAGGGGGCCGCAAAACCGAGCCTTTGGCTCAATAGCCTACCCGCAAGACAGCGAGGCAATTTCAGGGAATCCACCCATTGGGAGCAGCTGACCGATTACTCGGTTCATATAACTTTCGTTTGGTTAGGTACCAAACAGGTGCCCAATCATCCCCACTACGACAGCGTCTGGCAGCTGGAATACAGTGTTTCACTGGAGTGAAGCAAGGGGCAGTGACTTTATTTAGTGGTGAGTCACATCCGTCACGTCGCAGTGTTGTTAAACAGACATATGTGGCTTTTTATATGGAGAACGCTTATCAGGCGATAATCCACTACTTCCTGGAACACTGCAGCTGAACCATTCATTGGAAAAGGAAATCCCGAACCACTCAGCTAGCACCACGAAGCGGTTGTTCGGTAATCCAGCAAGTGCCCGCATCAGCTCAATATATTCAATACTAAATGTTGCTCTAACGAACAAGTCCAATTATCAATGTTACTGTGTTGGTAGCCATCAGACTGAGTATAACATTGCCAGCATTTACAATTGTTCTGTAGACGCATGCTCAGTTGCGCAGAACAATCTGATGGAGTACAATTCAGTGCATGAAAACGGCTACAGCTGGAAGATTGTAGGCCGAACAACCTTACAGGCCGTCTACCGGAATACCGCAATCATTACCATCCTTAGATATCTTTAGTGTAACTTCTTATCAGGCTTTAGGTTGATGTAACTCTTTCACTTTAACTTTTACAGAAAAACCCTCATACAGTAGTTTGAGTACTCAGTTTTAAGAACTGGAGTACTGGAATCAGAAATAGCTTCTTGGAAGAGTCCAACTCATCTTTGCTACCTTCAACAGGTAGAGTGTGAACAGGTTTGTTATATCTGCTGTTCCTAAATTTAAAAACCAGTATGCTACCTGACTACCTAGTCGTTCGGATATGATGCGATTGCTTACCAACTAATGAAAGCATTCGTCAGGAAAAATAAGTTTAGAACAGCTGAAAACTCGTTAGCATCATTTGTTGCCTTAATTAAGTGCTTCATGCAAACGCATTCTGGGCCGAGATTGAAGTTGAAGTAAAATGCTCTCAATGCGATCGATTGGACTTTTTCTGAGGCAGAAAAACATTAGGTGCTTTTCGTTCGTAACAATTTACTCTATGCCCAACACTGGTTTTTAATCGTAAAGGAAGGTTTGAATGAGTGTCAAGAACACCATGGACCAACCGGGGTTGCAACAAGTGAACACAGCAACGAATCATGTTGTACACGATTATTGGGGGGTTCCGAATGTTGTGGTTAATACGACTTTCTTTCTGGGTTTTACCTGCCGACATATTTGCGAAGCTGTTCTCGGATTTCAATCGGCCCCATCTGGATAACTGCGTCCTTGCTTGCCCCCTGCTTCGTTCGGGACAAATTGCAGCTTGGTTGGTTTCGCAAATAGGTACTAAGTTGGTCGAGAGATTTCGGAGCAAACGTATTCCGAGCGTCTATTAGCTTGGGTATGTATCCCATGCACTACCGACGGCTTAAACGAGACCTGATCCTCACTTAATACTTTTTAACTGGAATCCTTGGACCGGAGTTGTGATGGCTGTTTAACCCGGCTAGGTGGCCTTGTCTTTGCGGTCATCCCATGAAGCAACATAAATTAATTAATTATTTTTTATTCTCGGACAATGCGAGAGGCGCCCATGTAGACATAATCAAGGTATAGGTACAACTAAAGGTCGTGGAATGTATAAAACTGGTGCAAGTTAACCATGAGCTGTGAGTATATACATGCATGTGGGAGTGCATGTGTGTAGCCTTTATCCGAGTTTGAATGTTTGTCGCTGCATTTGTGATTGATGGGGTCAGGACTGATACTCAGTTATCGCGTTGAGTAATTAAGATCTGGAAGCCCCCTCCAAAAGCTGTAGTCATTTAACCTACAGTTAAGGAGTTTGCGTACCCATCAGATCCTCTTTGGTGGCAGTATGAAACTTTTCCTTTTGTCTGAGCATATTCGTACTCCAAGATGGAGTTCCTATCCTGTGCTTCGCCTCACACTTTGGTAGTGTCTTTCATTTAAATGACTTTCCCTCCTCTTTAGCTTCCAGTTTCTTTCCACAGCTTTCCTTTTGCCCGTGATCATCATATCGGGTTCCGTTAGCGCAGGAAAGGTTGGCAGTAATTAGGTGAGTCGGGTGTGGTTTGGGTGTTTCACTTTAAATCCGCCAAGATCTTGGAATGCCTTATCATTTTTGGCTCAACTATCTGCTCAGGAACGAACACTCAATGAATTTTCTTATACTTCCATTACCAATTGAATCTCGCCAAACACTATTGGTAAATTACTGTTACCCGGAGGATACTTCTCATTAATCGCATCGATAGCTGTGGATGATGTAGCTTTGACTAATCACGGACAAAATGAATATAAAAGAACTTGGTGTTATGTCTGTTATGCTTGAAGTAAACTTTGTTTCGGTAACCCTAAGTAACTTCTTAGGCTTAGAAAGTGACAACGTTCCTTGTTTGTCTGTGGGAAGTATGGCGAACATGATACGGTAATATCAGTGAATATAGTATAAGCGGTACTAAAATGTATCCGGATTCAATCATCAACTGATTACGTTGAGCCGGCTAGATAACAATATGTGGTTTATCTGGGGTACATCGTAATATACTGATAAGGAAGTAGCAATGTAACAGTGTTTAAAAAGTAAATGCACTACATCGATGTATACCTGCCAGCTTGAATCCGTGTGCCTGTAATAAGCGAAATTGTTCATTATCCATCCGTAGATATCCGATAAAGTGACCTTCGGTTTTCCAAGCTCCCTCATGGCAAGGCAAATGAGAGTGGCGTACGAAAATGGTGGCTTTCCAGTCCATTTGGTTCGGTAGTCAAATCTGACTTGTGGATCCAGCAGACTCCCAGCGAAAGGCTGTTGTTGGTTACAAAATGTGTTTGAACCAGCAACATTCTGCCCAACGTTTAATTCGGTAAACTTTTGTGTAGTATCCAATTCCATCCCAATCGGATGCATATCCTAGAGGATGTGGATAGTTATATTAACAATGCCCAACTTACATAGAGCCAAGCCAGACTGGTAAGTGAATCGTCCGTCGTGTTGAACTTATTCAATTTCTGCAACCAGTTTCTTCTTAAACGTTCGGATAATTCATTGAGTTCATTTTCACATAGGTCGAATGACTGTTCAATGAGCCCAAGTGACATATTGAAGGATGTGAACACGGTGAAATATGCACTATCACAAAACCCGGATTTCGGTTTGTTTACTTCTGATTTGTGTTCGGCATAAATTGAATTCAGTTTACAAATTTCTACAAGGTAGATATGCAGTTAGTTAGCCTTGGAATCCCAAATTTTGTAACCTTCCTTCTTTTGTGACTGTCACGATAAATTATCTTTTTATATATGAGATAAGCCAACACATTCAAAGGATTAAGGAATCACATTTACAACAAATCACTGAAATATTGTAGCTGTTGTTTCAATAACGGTGCGCGAAAGTGCAGTTTTATGTTGTTATTAGTTCAAAAGGCATTCTCTATTTAGTTACGTTAAAAGTGGCTCCCTATGGTACAGAAACAGATGGCCAGTGATTATTACTTAACTGCGTATTTCGGCATCAGTTCATTGGACTGATATTCGATAAAGAATGCAGCTAAATGACATGGGACGGTGATCGATCGCGTGTATTGCACAACTGTGCACAGAAATTTGCAAATGTGGACTTGCTAACACTGGAAAATATCCAACGATCATTCACAAATGGATGCGTAAATATACCTAACATTAAGAGTTACTGTGAGTGTTGCGACGTTTTGAAGCTGCAGCCGCTATGGCTGCGCGGACTAAAAGTTAATATGTGCCTTTTTTACTGCTTATTATTCGGCGTAAGCCATAGATCACAGCTATTGTTCAAGTTTAAGGCTTCCCAGTGTTTTGACATAAGTAACAGCGAGCGAATACTGCATATCCAAATGTTCTGTGCCAAGCTTTGCTCAAAATTTGTCTCAGTAACATATGCGTTGCTATGGAATTATTTTCCATCTGATATCAGAATATGCTCTAACTGACTGTATTTAAACGGATGATCAATGTTCACCAAACTGTTTCCAATATTTTGTCAACAATTAGCCAAAAGATGACTCGGGATGATTTGTATGAGGAACGTCCTGGAAACACTTAAAATTTATAATGTTCCCTACTTGTCATAACATTAAAAGCTTATCTTTACATGGATGAACTGCTTAGTATGTTTTTACAATCCGTCTCACTCCTAGCAGGCCTAAACCCGTCTAACGAAACACCATCTTCTTCTCCTTTGATGTTCTGTTTCAGAGATAGACTAAGCCGTGCAAGCTGAAATCTCCGCACGGTCGTCGTTGTTCGCAATGAGTTTACTTCAAATGGTGCTTAGCCTATTAGGAAAAGATCGTAAGCTTATTAGGTTTTTTATCCCTCATACCTTATGTTCTTTCTTATTTCACTGTTGGCCCCCACTGTCTTTATCTATTGTGGTGACGGATTACACCTCCAGAGTTAAAACGTATACCCGTGCAAAGCATACTGCCACTGCCTTGCCGGAAACTGACAAGAAAGTGCCATATTGAATGATCCGTATGACGGATCAGGCTGATGCTTCATCGCCCATAAGGCATGCATAAAACAACCAAATAACGAAACGTTTGTACAACAGTTACTGGCTTACATGCTACTTTGCCACAGTGTCAGACAGCCAGTTGGAGCATGGAAGTGCGCGTGAATCCCATCGAGGGAATAACCCGCAAGGAAGCAGGTCCCATGAGGACGGTTCCATGGATAGCCGTATTACCTTAATTGAACTTTTGGCAAAATTGTATTTGTTATTGTTCTTAGTTTCTTACTCTCTCTAATACTAGCAAACTGCCAATTATTTCAGAAACCCATTTGAGACCCGTTGTACAGAATATGAACAATCAAATGTTTCATGCGATCTCGATGTAAAAATTAATCAGTCCACTCATTTGGATTGTTCCGCCCACCGTCGAAGCATAAAAGGTTTATTTATTTACTTATTTATCATCCACTACTGCCATCCAGGTTACAAATGTTACCAACGACGGTGCGCCAGTCAATACCAACGGCTTACGTAAAATAACATCATTATGTGGTCGATCGGTACAAGGCGTCTGCCCTGCACTCCACAGATCACCAGCTCGAATCTGCTTAGGCGAGGGCGACTTCGTAGTCATGTTAGCTTGTGCGCGACCGTTGTTGGTTGTATTTTGACTAATCGTCGGTACGGCACATGACGTATTGCTAATGGCCCCTCAAACTAAAATTTCATTCAATATACGCGATGAACCTTACATAGTAATCGTCATCAACAGCGAACGCGGTACATCAACTAGTTTAACTGATGCTTCACTGCCAAATAACTAAAGCAAGCTAAGAAATGAAGAATAAAAGGCGGAAGATAAGGGGCGCCTAGTGTAAAACCTAAGCGCCATAAACAAACCTTAATGCCAGAACACCTACATTTTGTCAACAACGTACCGTTACAAACAGTTGAGTATGATGTACACATTAGGCGACATCGATGAGACAGCGTTATTTTGACTGTCTTAGCCCCACGTCCTAATCAGCTATTACTCTGCAGGTAACTGTCGGCCGGTGGCTGAGTGGTCTGCGCGTCTGGTTTGCAGCCATAAGGTCACCGGTTCGAATGCGCGTAGGGGTGGGCGTTCTCGCGGTGTACTCAGCCCATGCGAGACTGGTGGTGGTCGGGCGGCAGCGAAGCGCCGTTCCGGCATACAGCGGACTCATTATTATTATTATTATTATTATTATTATTATTATTATTTCCGCAGGTAACTCACCATCAGACACTTTAAACTGGTGATGCGACTAAGGGACGACTACAGACGTGCCAGTGGATCCGGCTGTGAGTCACGTCCCGTAAGTCTTGCAGTCCTCATGCACTAAGCGTGTTAGGTGGACTCCAGTCTGAAAGGTAACACGGACCAACAGCACCTAGTTTACCGATCACTAATTTCATTTTCCGTCGCCAAGCCAACGTTTGTTCACCTCAAACCTCGCGTTACCCTAGATCTAGTAAACGAAACACAATATTCTTTAGTGAACCGAGGCCGGGCCTCCATAGTACTTGTCCAAGAAAATGCAACTTGTCAATTGTCAATAATCATTTTAAGGAACTAGCCTGAATATCACTATGTAGCACTCGCCTAAGCTGGTCATCCCTGCCGATACGCTGGTTCTAGCTGACACCAGCAAGGTTTCACAGACATCATAGGACAATACATTTTAAGCGCCTTACATCCCCAGACCGAAGGAGCTCTCACTTCCAAAGTGTAGGACGGCACTCACTTCAACCTTTGAAACATTGGTTTTCAGACCGGGAAAATCTACTTTCTGACACTAAAAGTGCCGCAGCTTCAGGCTTGAACGCCCTGGTATCATCTCAATTAACGTACAGCCATGACTACTTTGAGTCAAACGTACTCATTTGTGAAGCTGCTCACTGGGTACAGACAGGAAGGTTGTCTTCAGAATATAGAGGAGTCAGCAAAAGAAAATTAAGTATCTTTCTTTAGTAGGTAAAATGGCATCTGCTAAATCCCGGTGAGAACAAATGAACAGCCTTCACGCAATAGTAAAAACAAATTCCCACGCAGCACAGCACGGTTTCATTAAGGGCCGTTCGGGCATCACCAACTTGCTGTTGGCGCGGCAGGAATGGTAGCAAACCTTTAAGCGAGAGATGTCAGTGGATTTTATCCACATTGCTTTCAATAAAGTTTTCGATAAACTGAACCATGAGATCCTGTTTCACACGCTGCGTATGTGTGGTGTTTGTGGCGCACTGCTCCAGTGGATCAGGGACTTTCTTATGGGCAGGAGATGGCGGGTTCAGGTGGATAGCTACTTAAGCGACTGGTAACATTCCACTAACGGTGTACCCCAAGGCACAGTGCCGGGACCAATTTTATTCCTGATCCACAAAAGCCAGGTGCTTCAGCTTTTTTCGATCGCCTTGTGCATCTTTTGCAGACGATTTGGAGGGTTAGTAATCCTCTCGACGACTATGATGTCCTAAAGCAGGAACTCGACCGCCTATCCCGGTGGTCTGCAGAAGTCGACCTACAGGTCATGCCTACCAAGCACTCCTTTATGTACCTGGAGAGGGATGGCAATGGGCATGCGTACATCCTGCCTGGCCACCCGTTGTATCCCACGAGTTTAATAAAGGACCTATACGTACTCTCGTTCTTTGAGCTGAAGTCTGGCGCCAACACAGACTGTACGCAAAAAGACTGCGTCTGCTTTGGCTACTTAGACACAGCATCTGCACTTGGTCTGAAGAGATCGCCCCCCTTTTGTTCTTCTCCATGATAACACCGGTGCCTGAGTACGGCTCACCCGCCTATTGCCCGATCATAACGGGTGACATGCAGGGACTGACACGGGTGCAGTATGTAGCTACCCGGCTCATCCCCATTTTACAAGGTATGTCGTACGAGGACCAATGCAGGAGGCTAGGAATGTATACCCTGTCATATCGTGAGCTTTGAGTTAATCTCATAATGACGCATCGGATACTGCACCTAGACCACATTCTATATTGGGGCCGCTGCTGCTCCTTCGAGCACCAAGCACCACAAGCGAACACCGGTTTAAAATAGTGGTACCGGATTTAAAGTGTATCGCTTACCCTCTAGGCTTCGAGCGTCGAGTGGTGACATATTGGAGCAAGGTGCCGGAGACGCTATTGGAGGCGAAATCTGTGCAGGATTTTAAGAGATTCCTTGATACCTATTTTACGGACTACAGATATAAGGTGCGCATTGCACCCGGATAAGCGGTAGTGGAGCTACAATTTGCTGATACCTGCGCAGGATTCAGCTTCATGCATCCGCGCATGTGCCCGATCCACCTATGAGGGAGAAACACAGATTTTTATCTTTGTGCTCTCTATACTCAGTATGCAGTTTTCAATTCGTGGGCTTAAATTTGGTATCTATCACACGTGCAAATCTCCAGAGCAGAAAGTGCACACAATAAAAACTGGGTAAAAGGTTTACTTTGCTAAACTGATAAGTCAGTGCTCCATCAGTATTTTTAGGCTCATTCATGCAAACATATAATGCCCATACAATACATGCTGTTTTAATGTTTTCCATTAGTTCATTTCAGCTAAAATAAGCAGTTTGACCGCTTCATCACCGTGGATGGTGATTCCATGATCCCTGTTACTATGCCAAAACACGAACACAATGACGATAGAAGCTAAATCTCAAATAGAGGATTGATTTAA